ATGACACCGTCGTTCCACACCTCCCAATGGTCAGAGGCGTGTACAATAGCCATGTAATGGCCAGGCCCATGCACAATGCAGGCAGAGATGCGGGATGGAGGATTAAACAACTCACCTGGTAGAGCATGGCGTAGTTCAAGCTGGCAGTTCCTCATCGCTATTTCTAGGACAGCAATGGTAAAACCTCCTTCCCTGGTGTAATTACGATGCTCTGGCTGTAGGTCGGGGGGATCAGCGAGATTATATATATATTTGTGACGATATATATATATTTAGAGTAAGACGATTACGATCAGTAGCAAGTATTAGCAACATACTATTGTTTTAATGACTTAAACCACTAGCACCTCCGCCAATGTTGGGAAATTACGATGCTTTGCCAGTTCCCGAAGTTATCGGGGGTGGGACACAGGGTCGGCACTGTCCCATAAATCAGATTTTTATACTGCCCGCAAGTGAAAGAAAAAAGAAAAAAAGAAAATACTATCTCTACTGCATGATGTCGGGCAGGGTAGTCTTGGAGGCCATGCTCAGAGTCTTCCTCCACAGAATGCACCTCACCGGTAAGGCGGTCACATTCTGGATGTTACTGTTTTTTTTTTTTTTCTTGCTTGTGTGTTTCTTACAAGTCCCCTGCCAATGAGGCAGGGGGGAATCCGTGAATTGCTCAAGACGTCCGTGATCTGCTCAAGCTGTGTTTTGTCAGAGGATTGTAACACTCGTCACACTGGTACTAAGGGGAATGTATCCAGCCATTTTCACGGCCGGATCCGTGTGCCCGTTTTTTTCCACTTCTATTCTCTTTTCCGAATCTGACAACCTGGCCACGGGGCTGAGATGGCCTCACTGAGGGCACACTCACACTACCACTTCCAAGAATGTATACAACTCCAATCACGGCCAAAGCTTTGTTTCGTTTTTTTTCTTTTTTCTTTTTTTCTGAGTTCACGACCGCAACTTTTCTTCTTCTTCTTTTTTTTTTTTGTTCTTTCCGTGAGAGTACCAGAAAGAAAACGGAGTGGTACCCAGGGTCGCCAAACTCGGAGCGCGGTGAAATTCAGGGTCGGCAAAAACAGGCTCAGAGGTACTAGTGGTTTAAGAACTTGTAAAAAGGATAAAATTTCATAAAAAGTATTAAAAACTATTAGACAGTTAAGACTTGCTGTAACTCGTGTGCCAACTCGAGCAGCTGGGCTCTAGTTGTGCCCTCAGACAAGCACGAACGGACAGGCCCTGAAAAAAGAGGTCAAACAGGCCCTAGAAAGTGGCCTAGACCGACAGTTGACCGAAATGTCAACAGTCAGCTTGTGAACTCAGTCTCAGATCCGAGAAGTCAAAGTCGACACATAAGATTTCCTGGCCGTCGATCTGGAATGATCTAACAGTGGGCTGCAGGTTCCGGAAGAATCAGGCCTCAAGGAGTCTAGACCGAAACTGGGACAAGTCGGATCTGAGCCGTCGACATTCGGGAGAATCTGGGGCCTCACATGGACAGACGCTGACCCGGGACAGCGCGAGTCAACACTGTATAAGGTTGACCTCACCATTGCTTGGGCATTCAGGCTTGCGAGTTGCTTGCGGCTTCGATGCTGCATGTGAGACTTGAGAGGAAGACGCTGGCGCCAGGCTGTTTCGTGGGCGCCAGCCAGACGCTGTAGTAGGAGAGGAGAGAGAGGGAAGGCAGCCATTGCTGCAACCATTGACGACGGTGAGGTAGTGAGGAGAGAGAGAGAGTGTGGGCCAGATGTGATATCGTGTGTAAGTACCTGGTCTCACCTGATGTGATGCTGCTGCTGATTCTGCTCGCTGCTGAAGGATCACTCGTCTCCGAGGGGCCGCGTTTACATCATCCACGTGTCACATTGTGTACACATTACTGACGTGGCAGAGGTGGGGAAGCATTGAGGAGAAGAGGGACTTGATTGCTACGATATTCTTCTCCTTCCATCTGTCTTTTCTTCCCCCTCTCTGTTCTAGTCTGGACACTCTTGACTTGGAGACTTTACATGTGGATATGAAGTATCATGTACTCCAATGACTTCGCATTGATGGACTAGCTGGAATGATTATCTCAACATTGCACGACATTGTTATCTCACGACATTGCTATCTGATGACATGATTGTTTGACGAGACTGGGTCATTACAGACTACTCAGAAAGAAAAAAAAAAGATCTCCTATTCTGCTTATAAGCCTTATATTATTTATATATCAAAAAAAGAGGAAGAAAACATCTCAGTAGGAGGAGGAGAATGACGAGCAATGGCCGATTTATTGCTCTTCACATGCACTTCAAATGATATTGCAAACACAAAGTAACCAGCACGTATTCATGCTCGACAACGCGTACGCGATCCTCTACATTTCAGCCGGGTGTGGTCCGGTCTCATCAGGAGGCCAGCCACTTGCCCAGCGCCTTACGGCCCACCGGTACTTCTAAACACTGAAATTGAAGTCATGGTACACACAATATGATGCGTCAAAGAACAGGACGCGTTTCAGAATATGGATTCAAAGGAAGGACGACAAGCACAATAGTGTGGACTTGACAAAAGAAGAAGAATGAATGGAAAAAATAGAGAGGCAACATGAGATACATGACTTGAGATAAGTAAGAGCAAGATTGTGCGAAGCAACAGAGAGGAGGAGGAGGAGGAGGAGGATAAGGAGGATAAGGAGGGAAGGAGGGAAGGAGGGAAAGGAGGGAAAGGAGGACGAAGTGAAAGAATACACTAGTAGGAGGAGCAAAGTGCTACAAAGACATCGAAGAAGGAATTCAGAAAAATGAGGACAAGGGAGAAGAAGAGGGAGAGGAAGAAGAGGGAGAAGAAGAAGCAGAGGAAGAAGAGGGAGGAGGAGTGGAAGAGGAGGAGGAACAGTAGGAGGCGGATGAGGAGGAGGAAGAGGAAGAAGGGGAGAAAGAGGAGGAAGGGGAGAAAGAGGACAATCCTCCTGCAGGATTAAAAAAAAGTGGTATGAAAATTTATATCAGTTAATAGCATAGTAATAGCACCTGCTAATACTCGAAGTGACAATAAAAGCAGAAGAGCTGTAATTAGCACAGACCAAACAAATAGAGGTAATCTATGCATGGTCATTCCTGGGCGATGCATGTTAAAAATAGTCGTAATGGAATTGATAACACCTAATTGAGGAAACAGTAACACCCGATAAAAAAAAAATGAAGATTTTAAAAATAGCTAAATCCACAGCTCCTCCCGAATGACTGGTTATACCGCTTAAAGGTGGGTAGACCGTCCACCCGATACCAGCACCTACTTCCACTAAAGCAGAACTTAAGGTGGAGGAGGAGGAGGAGGAAGGACGGCAAGCAAGATAGCAAAGAGCACTCAACAGAAGAAGAAAAACAAATAAAAACTGGAAATAAAAAAGACAACAAAAGGACTTACCAGGAGGAAGGTTGTATGAAGCAACACAAAGGAGGGAAAGGAGGATGAAGCAGGAGGAGGAGGGGGACGAGGAGGAAAAGGAAAGGAAAAGGAGGAAAAGGAGGAAAAGGAGGAAGAATGGAAAGGTATAGAGGCAAAGGACTTGTGGTGAAGAAGAAATCATCGGAGGAAGAGAAGGAAGAGAAGGAAGATATGAAGACGAGGAAAAGCAGGAGGAAGAGCAGGAGGAGGAGGAGAAAGACGAGGAAGAGGAAGAAGAGAAGGAAGGTGGAGAGTGAGCACGGGACAGAACTGACCTGCACATGCATGACACAGACACAGAAGAATACCATGAAACCTAGCTGGCATATAAGGCAGAGAACCCCTGGGGAGTAAAATCCTGTCTTTCCTTCGTTGCAGCCCACCAGTTTGGTCTCAATCAACTCGCGATCTTTGTGATGCGCATGAGTGCATTCAACCTTGCCGCCGCTATCAGCATCATTTGCAGGGGGGAATTGAACGTGCACCGCACTTGCTCTTGCCTCCTTTGCAATAGAGTCGTCCTTCCCCCATCGCCTTCGTAGAGATCTGACTTCATCATCCGTCACTTTTGGAGTACACACGAAGATCAACCGCCAATTAAGAGCCAAAAAAAAATAAAAAATAAAAAAAATGCATGTTATTTTTTTTCCTTCCATTGTATTGGATATCCTCTTTCCCACTCATATCATCAAGGCGACGTTTCTGTTCTCGTCTCGCTCCTACAAAACCACACTGCCTTCCTTTACCTGGACAATGATCTCTCCTTTGAGGATTCTGCAACACAATACCTTGATTTCCAGACAGACAGAGGAGGAGGGACAGCAGGGAGAAGGGGGGGGGGGGGGGGGGGGGGGGCTTTGGAGGACCCTTAGAAGAAACAATGACTTTGATCCCTCCATCCCCCCCCCCCCCTCATTTCCCCCCCCCCAAGGGCTCCCCTCTCTTTCCTCCCCACAACAATTAACTTAATTGTGCTGCGTCTACTTTGATAGGAACTTGGA